AGTGTCCTACACCTTTGGGCTGTCCATGCATGTATCCTATGGATCCAAGGCTTCTTTTCCACCCAAAAAAAGGTGGTATTCTTCAAAAAGGAGGTGCAAAAAGTGAGCCTACAAAAAGAAAGTGAAAATAAGTGAAAAACTTAGAAAAAGAAAATACTAAGTAAATTCAAAATGGAAGGTAAAGAGGAGGCCTCCCTTCTAGTCATGCTTCTAGTAATCCTCCTAGGGATGACCTCTCCCGCCTCCGGGGAAACTAGGGACTCATCATTTAAGTGTGTCCATTAGGGAAACATGGTTCACGCTGTTGTCACTGCCGCCGCTGCCGGAGTAGTCATCGGAGCCGTCATTGGAGTTTCATTTTTGACCGGTGACATACGGTTTTGTTCGTTTCGGTAAGGTGATCACCGTGCCGTTGAAATCACCACTATCGGAGTTAGTCGTCTATTGTCTCCTACATCGTTTAGTCTCAACGGACTTGTTTTGGTCTTCTCGTTTTGGATCTGTGTTTCGTGGGTGGATTAGATTACTTTGAATTTTTTTTAGGATTTTTCCTCCTGCCCTTCATGACTTCTTCCACTCCTTCTACTACTTCCAATTCTGTTAATGATTCTTCTGTGTTGGCATCTCACCGTGATGACCGGACTCGCCCTCGCAAATAGGGAAAATGACGTCCTAAGTGTGAACATTGTGGCAAGCTAGGTCACAAGATTAACAAGTGTTATGCATTACATGGTCATCCTCCTCGATTTGCTGCAGTTGTTCAGACCAATCTTTTCCCACCTTTGTCTGTTGGGGATCCTCCTTCTTCTGTTGCATCCGACACACCTGCTATATGCAACAAATTTCTCAAATGATATAAGGATCAACAATCTCCTAGTTCCACTACGTTTTTCGCACACACAGATACATATTTTGCTGGTCTGACCCAATCTTCTTCTCCTGGTCCTTGGGTTTTTTATTCAAGAGCCACTGATCATATTACTGGTAACAAATTTTTGTTCTCCTCTTTATCCTCTTCTAATCCTTTACCTTCTGTTACACTAGCTGATGACTCTAGAGTATCATCTCAAGGTCTTGGAACTGTTAAACTTTTCCCTTCTTTAACCATTGATAATGTTCTTTATGTTCCTGAGTCTCCTTTTAACTTGTTATCCATCAGTCATCTAACTTGTTCTCTTGATTGTGTTGTTTCTTTTATTAACAATTCTTTATGTTTACAGGACCGGAGTTTGAAACAGGTGATTGGCACAAGATATGAGTCTCATGGTCTTTATCATCTCCATCCCTCTACACATGTTGGTGCAGTTATGGAGTCTCCCTCTCTTCTTCATGCTCAGTTAGGTCATCCAAGTCTTGCCAAGTTACAGAAACTTGTCCCTGCCTTGTCTAACTTGTCTAGTTTGGCATGTGAGTCGTGTCAATTAGGCAAGCATAGTTGTACTTCCTTTCCTCGTAGTGTCACACGTGGTGCTTCGTCCCCTTTTGCCGTGGTTCACTTTGACATTTGGGAACCTAGCCGCATTAAGTCTACTTTAAGTTTTAAATACTTTGTTACTTTCATTGATGATTATTCCAGATGCACTTGGTTATTTTGGATGAAAAATCGTTCTGAATTATTTCATATTTTTCAAAAAATTTTCAATGAAATTCAAACCCAGTTTGGTGTTTTATTAGAGTTTTGCATAGTGATAATGGTCGTAAATATCTTTTTCATTCTTTTAAACAATTCATGGCTTCTCACGGTATCCTGCATCAAACTTCTTGTGCTTATACACCTCAACAAAATGGTGTAGCTGAACGCAAAAATAGACATCTTATTGAAACAACTCGCACTCTTTTAATTCATGGAGAGGTTCCTCAACATTTTTGGGGTGATGCTCTTCTTACTGCATGTTATCTCATTAATCACATGCCTTCTTCGATTTTAGATAATAAAATACCTCATTCCATTTTATTCCCTCATGAACCTCTTCATTCCTTACCTTTAAGAGTTTTCAGGTCTACATGTTTTGTTCATCATTTAAGTCCTGGTCTTGATAAGCTTTCTCCTAGATCACATAAATGTGTTTTCTTAGGGTTTATAAGATCATAAAAATGATACAAATGTTTTCCTCCTTCTCTTAACCATTATTTTGTGTCTGCAGATGTCACCTTTGATGAATTCTCTCTTTATTTTAAAAGTCAATCTTCACCTTTGTCTCCATTCAATCCTGTCAACACTCCTAGTACATTTAATGTTCCTGTTGTGTGTGACCCTCTAACTGTGTCTTCTTCACCATTAGTTCCTATTCCATAGTTAGCTTCTTCTCCACCGCCTCTTCAGGTTTATAGTTGCCGAAATCAATCACAACCACCACCACGTGACTCCACTCAAGTGCCAACTACTCTGTCTCCTCCGGATCTGACACCTGAGTCTGACCTTCCCATTGCCCTCTGAAAAGGTATCCGTTCTATACGTAATCCCTCTCCCCATTATATTGCTTTGAGTTATCATCGATTATCATTACCTTTTTATACATGTCTTTCCTTTATTTCTTCTGTGACCATTCCAAAAACTTTCTGTGAAGCTTTAGCCCATCCTGGTTGGCGTCAGGCCATGTTAGATGAAATAAGTGCTCTTCATAATAGTGGAACTTTGGAATTGGTCCCGTTACTGTCTGGAAAATCTGTTGTTGGTTGTAGGTGGGTGTTTGCTATCAAAGTTGATGGTACTATTGATCACCTCAAAGCTCGTCTTGTGGCCAAAGGTTTTACTCAAATTTTTGGGTTGAATTATGGAGATACCTTTTCCCCTCTGGCGAAAATGGCATTTGTTCATTATTTATCGCCATGACCGCTCTTCAACAATGACCTCTTTATCAACTGGATGTTAAAAATGCTTTTTTCAATGGTGATTTTCAATAAGAAATCTATATGGAGCAACCTCTTGGGTTTATTGCTCAGGGGGAGTCTTTTGGGATGATAGGTTGTCTTCACAAATCCCTATATGGCCTAAAACAGTCTCCTAGGGTCTGGTTTGGAAAGTTTAGCAAGGTTGTTCAACAATTTGATATGACTCGATGTGAAGCAAATCATTCTGTCTTTTATCGACACTCGAGTGCTGGATGTGTTTACTTGATAGTATATGTTGATGACATCATTCTTACAAGTAGTGGCAACCATGGCATCTCTCAGTTGAAACAACATCTATGTCACCATTTTCAGACCAAAGATCTTGGCAAACTTAGATATTTCTTGGGTATTGAGGTGGCACAGTCCAATGATGGTGTTGTTATATCTCAGAGGAAGTATGCCATTGATATTTTGGAGGAAACTGGGTTGATGAGTTCAAAGTCTGTTGATACACCCATGGATCCTAATACTAAACTTCTACCAAATCAGGGGGAGCCTATATCTGATCCTGAGCAGTATAGAAGATTGGTTGGAAAATTGAATTATCTTACAATTACTCATCCTGACATTTCCTTTGCAATCAGTGTGGTAAGCCAATTTCTTAATTCCCCATGTGAAGATCATTGGAATGCATTCATTCGTATCTTGAAGTATAGTAAAGGATCTCCTGGAAAATTATTATTATATGGTTCTAATAACCATACAAGAGTTGTTTGCTACTCAGATGCTGATTGGGAAGGATCTCCTTCGGATAGAAGATCTACATCTGGATATTGTGTCTCTATTGGTGGTAACTTGATTTCGTGGAAAAGTAAAAAATAGAGTGTTGTGGCAAGATCCAGTGTAGAAGCAAAATATAGAGCTATGACCTCAGCTTCTTGTGAACTTGTTTGGCTCAAGTAATTGCTTGGAGAGTTACAATTTGGAGATGTCACTCAAATGACACTTGTGTGTAACAATCAGGTTGTTATTTATATTAGTTCTAATCCTGTCTTTCATGAGAGTACCAAACACATTGATATTGATTGTCCTTTCATTCGAGAAAAGATTATGTCTGGAAACATTAAAACTAAGTTTGTTAACTCATTGTATTTTTTTAAAATACTTTTTATAAATTATCACAACTTTATTTCCAATTTTTATATAATTTATTTTTTATTAATTTTTAAAACAATTACTAGATCATAATTTAAATCTTAAATTTTATTTTTATTTATTATTATTAAAATTTACAATAATAATATTTTGATTATTTATTAATTTATCTTATTGTTTAAATTTTTTAATTAATCAAAATAATCTTATTACCTGCGTTTTCATTCATTTTTTTTTCCTTTACTTTTCACTCCATTTAGATTAATCCAAACAATTACACTTTATATTTCTTTTCTCTTTTTTCCCACCCCATTAAATATCCTTCAATCCAAATAAAGCTTTTTAGCATATCACACAACAATACCACTCACGATACTAATTGAAAAGGTAATACATGTGTTTTATTAAAATACTAAATTAAAGATAAAAACAATGACAAGTTATAATATTAATGCTATGTTGAGGTAACATGTGTAAAAAATTAAGATTAAATACTTTTAGAAATTAAATAAATAAATTATAAATTATCTGAAATAAATAGTCAAATACAATTGGTAAAAAAGAAAAAAATAGTTTGATAATTTACAGGAGAGTATTGATAATTTATAGTTGTTTGATATACACATTCTAATTGTATTATTGTAAATTGTTTTTTTTTAATTATTATATGTAATAAAAATATGGATACAAGGCAATCTCAATTTATTCGTTGTATAACCTTCTCCACCATTAGTGGTTCCCTACCAACTTTATTCCAACCGTTTTTCGTTACCGTCATATATTTCAGGCCCACATTGACGGTGTCACACTGTCCCTTATCTCAAGTTCAAGTATTAGTAATTGCTTACACATAATAAACCTCTGAATTGTAACCTGTCAGACTCAATTTCACTGGCAACAGATACAGAATTATCCTCAGGGCATAGCCAAGGGAAGTCTAAATTGGTCACAGCTTTGGAAGTGCAACCAATCAAGCTTGAGAGACCACAGTATTTGTGTTTTGGAGGTTGAAAATGTCTGCTGCTGTGTCTGCAACCAAGGATGTTCCCTTCAATGCTCATTTGGAGGAAGACCTCAAAAACAAAGGAACCAACAACAATGTTGTTGTTGGGGAAGCAGACCAGGTTCCATACAATGAGGATGCTGAAGGAACTGAGTCAGAGGCAGAGGAAGACCCTAAGTTGGAATTGGATCTTGGCCCTCAGTTTTCGCTCAAGGAACAGATTGAGAAAGACAAAGTAATGTTCTTTCTTCAAACGTTTCTTCACTGCTTTGAATTGCTTTTCATTTGTTTGTGATATTTCCAACTGTTCTTTGAAGAAAAGCTATTCAATAATTGAACATTTTTTTCTTTTCTTTTTCAAAGGATGATGAAAGTTTGAGGAAATGGAAGGAACAGCTTCTGGGAAGTATTGATGTCTCTGCTGTTGAAGGTAGTTACTTTCCTTTCCTTTTGAGATGAAGTCACATTAATGGTGCATCTGTATTGAAAATTCTTGTTGAAGATTACCGTTTGCCTCCAGTTTAATTTCTTTGTCCACATAAAGCAGTGTTTTCCTTTTACCCTTTTGTTTAACTCACTCTCTTGAATCATCTTGTTTGGAGATGACAAATTCTGGAGGTAGAAAAAGCCTAGGATGGCTATAATTTTACTCTTGTTTCAACATATTTGTACCGTTAAGTTTCATTGCAGCTCACTATTTTTGAGTCATGAAAAATCTAAAGCCAAAAGCCCTTGTATTGTAATTCAGAGAACAAAGAGCCAGAAGTGAAGATAGTGAGCCTAACCATAATATGCCCAGGGAGGCCTGACCTCTTTCTACCAATTCCATTTACATCTGATGCTAAAAAGAGCATCTTCACTCTTAAGGAAGGAAGTCAATACCGTTTGAAATTCTCTTTCACTGTCTCGAACAACATTGTTTCTGGCCTCAAATACACCAACGTTGTTTGGAAAACTGGGGTTAGAGGTGAGACATAGACCCGCTTTGTGTCTTGTTAGAGTGATTAAACATCCATATCTTGGATTGTCTTACTTACATGTGGCTTTCATGAATTAATTGAAACAGTGGACAACACCAAAAAAATGTTGGGCACTTATAGCCCAAGGCAGGAATCATATACATATGAATTGGAAGAAGAAACTACCCCTTCGGGAATGTTCTCTAGAGGAACCTATTCAGCAAGAACCAAGGTAAAAAATTAAGTTACTTCATATCATGTTTATGTACTATATATGTTGTTTTTTAGTAGGGTGAACTAACTAAATTTTCTGTTTCAGTTTGTAGATGATGATCGCAAATGCTACTTGGACACTAGTTACTACTTTGAGATTCAGAAGAGTTGGCCTGCACCCATATTTAAGATTCAAGAGTAATTTATTGGTGGATTTTCTTTCTTTGTCAGGTCGTATCTTCAGGGCAGATAGAAATCCAACTTTTGTTTATTAATCCAGATAGTGTAATTGTGTTCATGCATGCTACATGATGGTGCAAATCCTATCTTTCTGTTACATGGTTCCTTTTTCCATTCTAATAGCTAGAATTCACCTAAAAGGAAATGCTTGTGAAAATCACACTCATTCCACCTAAGATGTCTCCAAGAGTTAATTGTTATTATGTGTTAAAGTGTGTGTGAGGTGTGAAGGAATGGGGTAGAAATGGACCCCATGTGGATAAAGGAGCAGAAATCAACAAATATCCTCAACTACTGCTTGTTCTTTCTCAGCAAATAGCCAAAAGGTCCATCAATTTTTTGATGGTCCAGAAGCTTTTGGCATATGAGGACCACATGCTGTTTGCCAACTGTTGAAATCAGAAAAATATAAAAGATGGGGAAGTAAAGTTTTCATTGACATAATTTATCATGATCAAGATTGAGGCCATGAAACCAAATTTTTATTTAATGTGAAGTAGTGTCTAACATTTTGAGAGTGCCTTTGGGATTTATTTTAATAACCTAAGTTCTTTTTGTAATTTGCTAATCAAATTAGGCAATTCCAAATTATCTTACGTTTTTTTCTTCTGGTCGATTCAATCGAGAATGAAGAACTTTTTTTTTTTTAACGTACTCAAGACATTAATATTTTTTAACACTTTTTTTTTTATATGCATTAACTGTGAATTTAGTTCTCTTAAGAAGACTTCTTTACATTTGTGGATGGAAAAATCATAATTTTAAAAAAGAAAGTTGACAAAAAATGACCAGTCAAATTTAAAAAAAAAAATTATATCAATATCTTGTATTTTAGAAGACATTACTTATTCATATACCAAACAACTTGTTAATTATTTAATTAAATTGTAATTTGTAAATTGTCTACTGCATGTGTCGTTTATCTATTACTTGAGTTGTTTTGGTCTTAGGTAACGATTTTAATATTCTTTTCCCATCAATTGTAATTCCAAGTAATTTTTAACTCCAAAAGGACACCTCTCAATTCTGAAATCAAATACCACACGCATTTTGTTGGCATGGTTTGCAATGTGTTTGGTAAGAGGGAAATGATAATATGAAATTTTCTTCTTAAATTTATGCCATTTAGTTATAAAAAATGGCGAAGAAAGAAAAATAAAATTAAGATATAAAGGATCCGTTACGAAGAAAAGAAAAATAGAGCGAAAAGTAAGTGCTATAAAGAAATAATTAAAAAAAAAAAAGATATTCATCTTGAGCGGTGATAAAAAAAAATTGAATTATTTATGTTTTACTCTAAATATTATGACATGAGGAGAAAAGAGTATAAAATATAAGAAATTTTATTATTTTTCAAAATTAAACTTTTTATCTAAAATAAATATATGTGTAATTTTATAATTATTTAGTCTATTATATTTTGAACTGATCATTTTATTTCTATTATTAATCTAGAAATTATAATGTGCGGATCTGGTATCCATTGTGAAATCTTTTTTTTATTTTTTATTTTCTATATTTTCTTTATTTTATTTCTTTTTCAATATATATTATTTTTCAAGAAAACATCTATTAAGATAAGGTTTAAGTAGAAGGCTAATTTTTTCCTCTAAATTGTATGAAAATTTCAACTTAATCCTAAATTAAAATAAATGAAAAAAATCTTAAATGTAATTTTCATTTCTTTTATATATATATATATATATATATATATATATATATATATATATATATATATATATATATATATATAAAGAGGATTGAATTACATTTTAATCATAATATATAGACTTGTTTTTAAAAAAAATGAAAGATAGAAGTTACCTTCAGATGTTGCATTGTTTATTAACATTCAAGTATTAATTAAAAAATGGCATTCGGTCTAAGGTTCATGTTGAGTATTTTCTACTAGTTTAAATTAAACAATGATTAGAGTTAAAAATAGGTTTGATTAAAAATAGAAAACGTTTTAAAAAACAAGCCAACTTATTTAAAGTTTTAGTAGAATGGTATTGATTATTGTAACGCACAAAAGAAAATAGTTTTAATTATTTAAAAGTTATCATTTTTTTAAATATTATAAATGTTTTATTGAAATTATTAATACTTGACCATTAATTCATTAAAAGTGTTGTATCGAAACTATTAATATTTTTTTAGATTACTTTTTGAAATTTAAATGTTGTTGATTTAGTAATTTTAAATAGGTAAAAATGATCATAAATACTTTTTAAACTAGTTGAAATTGTGATAAGTTGAATTATATGGTTAAATTTAATAACTTGAATTGAAACTTTTAAAATTGTTTAATCAATGTTATTTTTTATAATTAGGGTGTCAATACAAGTCTGGTTGGGTGAATCCACCTAATTCACTACTAATTCAAGTTGAATTGGATTGAAAAGATTTAAAAATCTTTAATAGTAACTTAAAGTAGGGATGACAATTAAATTGATTCATCACCACTCTGAATTTGATGAGGAAAAATCGAGTTGATTGGAGGTGGGGCGGGTTCGGGTTTTCCCAGCTTTAAAAGGTCGGGGATGAGGATGGGGATGGATAATGCAATTTTCACACCGATCTCGTCTCCGTCTCCACCCAGACTTTATATTTAAATTTAAATTTTAAAATTATTTTTTTCTTTTTCTATTACATATAAAGTCACTTTTTTATATTTTACCATTTTTACTTTTCTTCTACCCACTTTTTAATTTTTTTTGTCTTTTTTTAATCTTTTATATCAATTAGTTTATTATATTGTCCTTTTTCTCTTATCTTTCCATTTTTCACATTTTCTTAATATCTCCAATCAATTTGTTTTTTTTTAATCTTTTCAACCAATTTGATGAACACAAAGTAAATTTTTTTCTTTTTATCTTTTTGTAAATATTTTACATAAATTTTAGTAGTAACTAATATTATTTTATTTATAATTTATATTTATTAAGTTTTATTATGTCATATTTTTTGGATCTTATTATTCTTATTTGTCATATATCAAATTTTATCTTAATAAAATAATTGTATTTTAAAGGATTAAAAAGAATTGATAATTTAAACTTTTATTAGTTCAAACTAATTAAATAAGAATTAACTTATTCAATATTTTCTTATAAACTATATATTTTATATTTTTAAATGACAACTCAAAAATGAATTAACTTATATATATATAATCAAATATTTGAATATATAATAATAATAATAATAATAATAATAATAATAATATTATTATTATTATTATTATTATTATAAGTATTCAAATGTTGAATATAGTGTTATAATAATAACAATAATAATTTTATAAATATTATATATATATATATATATATATATATGAATATATATATATATATATAAATAAAAAATGATTAAATATTTCTTTTACATACATATTTTAATATAAATAAAATAAATAAAAATATATATTTAATTAATCATAATTACAAATTATAAAATTATAAATATTTATTTATATATAAAAAATATATAAAAATAGTAAAATTAATTTATTATAAATATAATTATCTTTTTAAAAAAAATATAGATTGGGGACTGGCAGGGATAGGGAAACCCGAAACCTAGCGGGGACGGTGACTTAATTTCTAACCCCAACGGAAATCGGAGATAGGGACGGGGAGGGTTAAAAAATTCAGGGCGGGAATTGGGAGACAAAACTCACCCCCGTCCCACCCTATTGCCATGCCTAGCTTAAAGTGAGCTCAACTCACTTAACTCGATAGTTAAACAGGTTCGAGCTAGGTTGGTACTGGATTGATCCATTTTTTCTAATATTTAATATTCTAATTTTTTCTATCCATGTGTTAATGTAAATCCATAAAAAAACATATTTTAGTTAGTCAACCTACATATTTTAGTAATTTAAAAAGATAAAAAAAATAATAAAAAGGCACATTTAAATTTGTTAGCCCAACTAACCTATCAATCATGATGGGTTGATGAGTCGAGTTGGGTTGTACAATTTTTTGCCCAAAAAAATAAATCGGGTTGAGCTTACTCATTTCTAACATTGTGATGAGCCAAATCACGTGAGCGAAGTTGACTCACTTTAATATCCTATATATAATTATAAAATATTATTTAAATTGAACATATTAAATATATTAAATTCAAATATATATATATATATATATATATATATATATATATATATATTATAAATTACTACTTTTTACTTGTCTAAGGAATAATGTAAATTTTATCAACACCATCAAAATCATTCCAATAATATCACTACAAGAAAAAGCATTTCAATGACCGAAAAAATCGGTCGCTAATGTCAAAAAATCGATCGTTAATCGAGTTAGCGATCGAAATTAGCAACCAAAAGGCGTCATCGCAAAAAGCCAAGTCGCTAATGTGTTAGCGATCGATTTTCATTTCTGATCGCAAAATAGCGTCCGAAATTAATATATCAAATTGATCGCTAAATCAGTGACAAAGTTAAAAAAATAGCGACCGATTTAAATCGGTCGCTAAATCAATGAAAAAGTTAAAAAAATAGCGATCGATTTAAATCGGTCGCTAAATCAATAACAAAATTAATTATTTTTATTATTTATTTTCCCTACCTCTTTTTATATTATATTTTTGCTTATTTAAGTTTTTATTTATATTTATTTCCCCTAACTCTTAATTATATTATATTTTTGGAAGATTAACAATCTATTATTAGGTTTATTGTTATTGTCAAGATTCGAATACTGTACCTTAAAGTTGGAGGTCGAAACTCTAACTTACTGAGCTACTAGGATTTTTTAATAATAACTTACAAATAAATTCTATTTATATACAAATAAATGTATATCCGTATAAATATATAAATATAAAATCTATAAATAAAAATATATATAAATTATATTTACATGTACAAAATATTAAAGATATATATTTATATCTTTACATATTTATATCTTTATATCTTTATATTTTATATCTTTA